CTTTTGCGAAATCCGCCTCCGGTGGGACGTACTCGAATATTTGGTTTTGGTTGAGGCAGTTATCCGTGTATACCGAAAAAATGGGTTTCCATGGGGCATTGATTCCCACTACCGTCGCTGTGGCTACTTGGGTATTTTTTGGTAATGTTATATGGGTGGCATTAGCGTTAAATATGCGAATAGTGACTGTACCCTCAGCGTTCGGGCACGATATAGTTTTGCCCACGAAAACACCTCTGGGTAGAGAATTTTGTAGGTCGTCGGAGGTAAAGAGCTCCCAATATTGAGGAAACGAGGTTTTGGTTGTTCCTACTGTGACATGTTCAGTAAACGGTTGGAGAGTCATCTCTTTAAGGAGAAAGACTGGCATTGGGAGGTTATTATTCTTTGTGTCCCATTTTGTAGTCATGAATGGGACGGAGGTGTGATCGAACGAAACGGTTCGCTGTGGGTAGTTAATTGATAAGGTATCTCCGAATAGAGGAATAACGTCGTTGCCAAGGATGAATGAGGAAGGACAAACTGCGTCTGAGGCGACAAAACAAGTTATAGACAGAGTTCTGCCATTTATAGTTAGGAGAGAGTTTGTTTCGCCTAAAAAAGTGAGTGTAGATCCGTTAGCAGCAATTCCTCGCGTGGTTGTCGTGGGTGATATTGTGGCTTTTACAATGCGAACTATGGCTTCGGAAATTATTGTTAAAGCTGAGCCTGTATCGAGAAGTGCTATGATCGGCATATCGTTGTATGAGATGGGTATGTAAATCATTTGACTACTTGGGGTGTTTCGTATGCACGAAACGGTTGGGAGGAAGTTATGAAACTGACGTGGTTTGGACCTGGGTGCATGTTCGGGACGCATAAGTGGTACGTCAGATAAAGGAATATCCATTGAGGGTATTTGTATTGAAACACTCATTGGTTCTTGACTTCGTGTAGGGTCCTCAGTGTTTCGACGTGGCGATTTTGCTCGCACTATGGGTCGACTAATCTCTGGCTGTGGTTGAGCTTGATTTTGGCTCGGGGAAGTTACTTTGCTGCAAAAATAGGTGGCGACAAAAGATATACCAACGGCAATAGTACTAAAGAGGTTATTGAGGATTGCGCGTACGCAGGAAGATTGACAGTATGCAAAAATTATTATTGTCAAGGTGATAAAAAGTAATGGTATGACGACAATAGTTTTTATTAATTTGTGAAGTCCTATTTTCTCTAGAATCTTCTCTTTCTGAGATTGTATAATATGCCCAGCGCTATCCTCTAAATATGTTAGTGATTGAGCGATTTCGGATTGAAGTTCGTCTGAGGTTACGTCAGAGTCATCCGATGGTTTGATGTGGTTGGTGGCAGAATACGCTCCCGAGGTTAAATGGTTTTTGATAAGGTAAATATCTGTGGAGATTCTGGCTAGATCTGTATGGAATATCGGTGGCGCGTTAAAGATGATATCTTGATTAACAAAACCGTTGGGTAGATTCAAATGGATGTTTGATACTTGGGTATAGCCTGCGGGTGATTTATAATGGTTGGTACCATCATTGTAAATACCAAAAGGTAGATGAAAACAGTCGGCTTTGGGACTAGATTTAATGAGGTCGCGTGTGCCAGGTTGAATAAAATAGTACGCCTTCCCTACTCGAACCGGTGTAAAAGAATAACAGATTGAGGTTTTTGTCCTAAGAATTGGGAGAATTCCTTAGGCAAAGGTTTGTTTTCGAGGGATTGTGTTGCCCAGTTATATAGCCACTTGATATGCTTATTAGTAAGATTAAATGACCGTTCGCTGTCACGTGGCGGTAATAGGTGCAAATCTTCGTCGTCTGGTTCTACAGATCTACGTGAATGAGCAGCTGAGGATTGCTTCGAGGATCGGTCAATATGGGTGAGTGTATCTACGAATTGGACGAACTGCGAGTTGTAGAAGTGTTGTTGATTAATAGCCCGTACCACATCTGGGTTTTGGGAGAATACGGATCGAGGGCCATGATTCTTCAGTTCCGGCAGTTATATAAATACACCATTGTCCATAGGTATGGCGCTAGTGCTTAAACACCAAGAGCTCTTTTGGGATGGTGATAGAGATATATTTTTATATGTGAATGCCGATTGAATATCATTAAGTATTACGTGAGTGGGTGTTACGTATGCGATCCCTTGTATGGCTCTAACATACCGACATATTAGTCGTGAACGAGGTGGTTTGTCCCATATTACAGTACCGTGTCTAAGATGGCACTGCATGGCATCTATTCTACAATGTGCCATATCTCCGAACTGTCCAGTTAGGTGATTCCTGTCAAAAGTTGCAATGTTCCCTTTTTCAAAGTAGATATTAGTGGTACTAGTGCATTTCTCCCCAAAAAACCATGGGTAAGAATAATGTATTTGGTTATCGGAACCGTATACATTTGGTGATAGGGGTTCTAGGGAAATATTTTCAAATTTCTTAGTTTCTGTTATATGTTTGCAAAGAATTGGGTCAACTGGTGTCATAAATTCTTCGTCATTATTGACAGAAAAGGATAAATGAAGATAGGACGATGCACATATTCTTCTGGTTTTGTTGAAACAATGATATGCTGTCATAAAAAGAGGTTCAGTTCATTCAACGTAAACATTTGCAACGGTTATAAGAACGTCCGATGCGTTAGGTGCACTAACGCACGTCAAAGGGTCCGGAAAGGCGATTGGCCAACCGGATTTTCCCGCTGCACACAATTGATATTTCAAAGAGAAGGAAGATAGCGGTATCGCTAGGGAGGCAATAATGGTTACGATGAAGAGGGAAGTGAGTGGTTGAAATGGTGTCGGTGAAAGATTAGTAAGAATGGAGTTGACTTGATGACGTGGTGGAGAATAAGAACTATTTCGTTGGGGTTGTTGGGATGTGGAATTATTTCTAGGACGGCGGGGGTATGGTGAGGTTGGTCGGTACGATTGCGTGAATGTGGCTTAAATCTTTTATTATGTTTCGGTGCGAACCGCACGGAATTCCGCCCAGGGGTATCCTTTTGGCGAAAACGATCGTAAGTCCGAAAGGGGTTGGGACGTTTAAAAGTGGTGTTTCGTTTGAATGGAATATGGGTCGACCTTGTGTCGCGGTTGCGGGACGTTGTAGGACCAGTTGCTCGTTGAAAAGGGGTCAATGCATCGATAACTCTATCGATTTTGGCTATAATAAGATTACTGGAAGAGAAGCCATTCTCTGCGTTGGTTATATTCCACATGCGCTCTGCATCGAGAACCAACTGGTCATAATCGGTAGGTTATTTAGCCAAGGAGTTTCAGTCTCTGTTTAATTGGGTTGGACAGAGCATTAGTAAAAATCATATTTTGCAAAAATTTGCGCTTATCAGACAGTTGCGAGCTTGGGTACGCGTCTAGAATTTCTTTGCGAATTCTATTGGAAAACACCACTGGTGATTCACCAGGTTCCATTCTCATTTCCATGACTTTTTCCCTTGCCATGTCTAAAAAATGATCTGTGGAGAAGTGTTCCCTAAGTTTTCTGGTTGCTATACGCCAATTTTGCTTGTCCGTGTCAGGAAAGTTTTCAAAAACAGCTTTTGCGGCACCCTTCAAGTGTGCTGGCAAAAGACGAACCATTTTGGATTCGGTTAATCCCATGATATTTCCTATTTCGTTGAATTTCTCCAAGAAATTCATCAATCCTGCCCCGCCTTTATCTCCTGAGAAGGTGGGGAGTTTGCTGGCATACGAGGATAAACACAATTTATCGAAGACTGAGTCTGGTTGTGCGGGCACGTGGTGTTCACCGATATCCATATTTTCAATGGGAGGAGTTGGTGAGGGTGACCTGTCTTGAGTGGGTTGTTCCGGAATGGGTGTGGGACTGCGAGGTGGGCTGTCAGAAGATAGATCGTCTGATATAATAGGGTCGGCGCTTGGTTGGTTGTTCAAAAACTGCCGACTTGTAGAGGGTTGTTCGTAGGTATTATAGACTTGCTGACTTGTTGAAGGTTGGTCGTAGATTTGTTCGTAAACGTTACCGTAGTCTTGGTAATTGTCAACTAGGATGACTTGTCTATTGTCGTTGTGGAAGGCGGTGTGTTGGATAAACGTGGGGTTGTACTGTATGCGAATCTGATTCCTTTCCGGATTTTGGAAGGCTCTAAAAGGTGTAGGAGAGACAGGAGCGTCGTATTCTTGGATAGGTGCACTGGTGATTTGCGCTGTGCCGTCTGGCTGGACTGATAGAAAACGTTGAGGGTTAATGGGTTCTAGAGGTTCGTCGGAGAAACTATCGTCTGGAAGAGGGATAAGGCTAGGATCTGGTGGTTCTGATCGAGTACGTAAACGTTCTGGTCGAACCGGGGGTGGGTTTGGGTTGGGAAAGGAAAAGGAAGGTGGATATTCGTAGTGGTTACGTGTGGTCTTCTTCCTGGGTAGGTATGGTATGCGAAAATTAGACTTACTTCTTTTAATTGAGTATCGGTCTGGGGTACGGCGATAAGTGAGGTTGTCGTCAGAACTATGTAGTAGTTCAGAGTCTGAACTACTCATAAAAGAATACCCAGAGGGCTGATATGATGACTGGGAGGGATAGAGGGTTGGGATATATGGAAGAAATTAGGATTAGGTGATCAAAGTTAAGTTAGATCAAGATGAAGGTAGGGGCCTGATAGATATATGTTGGGTTGAATAGGGCAAATACTCACTGGTTCCTGTTTCAGCTGACGCTGGATGATGATGGTTGTTGCTGAAGTTGGTTGGCGTTGAGTGGCGTCTGGGAACAAAGTTATGACCCCCCCCCCCTCCCCCGGGTGTCATGCCGCTTTTCTGCTTTTATATGCGACCCATGCAGCACCAGAATGTGCACAGAAGGCCGAGTTGGGAGGAAAATGGACTGGTAGGCGCGACGCGGAGGTTCGAATCCTTGATGCATCCGCTTGTTTTGATTTTTTATAAAAAGTGCCCTAAACGCTTGCAAATCATATTGACGCGTCATATAGACTATCTACAGCTCTCCTTTATGTTTACGCAGCACCAAAAATGAAAATACAAGTTGAATTTCTTGTTGCCTCCACAGACCGAATAGGATTGCACATAGAACCCGTCCGCGCCTGGCACTAAAGATTTGGTTGCGAAAGTCGCGCTCCACGTTATTTCGACAGAGAGCGGCCGGGCAACCCGTCAGAACATAGCGCTTTTGAACGAAGTAATGCATCCTCTAGCAAGTGATGGAAGTGAACTGGTACAATACAACTGACATTTTTATGAAAAAGTATGATAGATGAACATTTTACGAACAGATATGGTGATCCAACACAAAGTGTTTGAAACAGAAAAGCCTCTCACAGATGAAAAATAATTCATCACAACCATCACTCTCACAGGTCCCGTCTATATGAGATGGAAAACAATGTTGAACAGGAGTTTCGAATTTTCCTGGGTCTCTATCCAGGTACCCTGCTGCATAGTGAGATAAGGCGAATTATGGAGTTGCGATTGCTTACCTGACAGTCCAGATCATGAGCAATCACGAAAGAGACAATACGCTTATACATCGCTTTGGATGGTAAGAAAAAATATACATCTAGAGGCTGAATTTGGGAGGTTGCCTCAGGTGGAATGTTGAGCACTTCCACCTCCTTGCCAGTTGGTAAAGCACCCTGAATCGCTTCATGGTCCTTGAACGAGCTCCATGAGTCGACGATCAGTAGGGTTAAGGCAAGTCCGTCGATCCAACGCATGATCTAACCCAATCCAGCATAAGTTCTTTGCTCATCAGGTGGGTGGTACTGGCCCTGATCTCCAAGTTCGAAACGCAGAAACAACCTTTAGCCGGAAAACGTCCATCAGGTTCCTGTCAGAGCAACCGTTTCAAGAATGTGAGTTTGTTTATACCTATTTTCTCGAAAACACCAACCTGCATTACAACATAAAGTTTTTTGCTAAATCACCATCGGCAAATAGGGTGGCTTAACAGAGAAAGAGTGAGATGTTGCCGAAACAGACTGTACAACTCTTTCCATCTTCTTCTGACCCCTTACGGCGAGGGTTCTGGCCGAATGTAGCTCCTTCACGAAACCGCTTTGATCGGCGTTGCATATTGTATCCAACGGCCGATTCTCCATTTCTAGAATTTACAAGCTCATCAATGTAGCTGTGAGGCTGTCAACAACTGTCAGGCTGTCAGCGACTGCACACATGAATTATGTATGTCATGAGAAAATTCACCTTTGCCTCACGATAAATGCGATCTTTGTCAAGAAACCCTTTCCTTTAGGTGAACGTCGTGATACGGCAAGACACAATACCACAGCTCGACTTAAAGCCCTGGATCCACCTATGGCTGGCCTTGAAGTTCTTCACTATAGGGCCTTCCTTGTTAATTTTGAGCGCAATGCGGTGGATATCGCTGTCGTGCAATGAGATTCCCATATTCATTTTCGCGATAACCGCTTCCTTCAACAAATCGGCCAATCTGCGAAGCCCGACAACTCGATCTGCTCGCTTTGCACCTAATATTTACAACCATGTAAGGCATCATATGTTGTCGAAAAAGACTTATCAGAACACTTACGGTCTCGCTCAATTCCTCTCAACTTCATCAGGTGGTATTCCGTCGTGATGAAATGGGACTTGCTGTTCATGCACGGAAGTGTTTTAGTACTTGAGCGATAGAAGACTAGGGCCTCATCCACCTGCACCATAAAATTGGAGATGATGGATAAAACTCTAAAGTTGAAGGTTACCTTCTCCTTTGATACCTCCGAATCTCCGAAAAGGTAAAAAGTTCCCTCTTGGGAGGTACTAGGTCCGTCATCGTCGTCGCTCTCATCAGGAGACCAGAGAGGGTCATTATGATTTTCTTCCACGCCTCGTTTTCCTCACAATCAATGACGAGATTGTCGCACATAGCATCGCGAAGTATAGATGAGAAACTCTCTATTACCTTCTGTTCCTTCCTGGATGGTGTCTGAGTTAAGTCGCAGGAGCCAAATTCCTTCAACAAATGGAAACGACCACTTTAGGGCAGAACATATTGCCAATAATATGTTGGGAGCACTTTGATCGATTAAACGTTTTGATCGTGAGTTTGTTCAGATCTTGCTCAAAATATTATTGCAAAATTGCTCAAAATCTCTTGCTCAAAATTTTGCAATAGTGTTTTTAGCAAAGCTTTCGCATCTCTCTCCTGCTGGACTTTGCCCCCGTATTCGTTCTGTGTATAAGCATTGCTGGTGTTCCGTTAATATGAAGGAGGGTTGTAGATAGTCCATATGACGCGTAAATATGTTTCGCAAGCGTTTAGAGCACTTTTTATAGAAAAGCAAAACAAGCAGATGCATCAAGGATTCGAACCTCCTTGTCACGCCTACCAGCCCATCGTTCTCCCAACTCGGCAATCTATGCACGTTCTGGTACTGCTTGGGTCGCATATAAAAGCAGAAAAGCGGCATGACACCCGGGGGAGAGGGGACCATAACTTTGTTCCCAGAATCGTTTCGCAGATTTAGAACCCAGATTTGAAATCCCCGTTTAGAAGAACTTACGTCGGAATACATCTCATTTTGAATGGCCGCTGCGACCTAGTATCCTTCCCTTGTTAGCACCGAAATGCAATTATTACGTTAATTGTTTTGAAAGTTATCATCGCACTGGTGAAAATATAGTAGTTTAATTACAACTAACATTCTTTCTTGGAGGTAAACAAGCATTTAGATGATTCTCAAATCCCTTCTTGCATTAAGGGTCTGGGGCCGTTTTCTCCCCATCAATGATCATAAATCTCCCTGCCCCAATTTTGATTCCATAACCCTTTCCTTTAAGTTGGACCAAAGACGTGGCGAATTCAACCTTTGCCCAACTTCTGGCTAGGGGAGGATAGCCTATGGAAACAACTGACAAGACATGCTGAGTACAAATGGAGAGAACGGAAACTCAAGGTGTTAAGCAAGGAAAAGTTTAGCAAGAAGCGGAAGTCGGTCGACCCGAAATCCCACCATGCAGTGGTAACTAATACCTCTCGAAATTTGGTCAATCTTTTTCGAACAGTAGGAGTGCTTTGGAATTTTCTAAACATTTTTGTATGCTTGATTTCTTCGATTTAATCTGCAGAATCATCCTTTTCGATCTCCGAGAGAAGAAAAACGGTAGACTGGACCATGCTACTGTGTGCTATGAATGTAAACGAGTTTAAAATATTTATGTGAATTTCGAAATGTATATTACTGATTTAATTCGTGCAGAAAGATTCTGATAAGAAAGAACTGATCACTCCTAGAACGTTTTACAATTTCCTTTCTTCGTACTCGATTGATGAGGTTGACTGAAGACCCCTAAATCTACATTCCCTAATCAGGGTCGCCTTGCACCTATGTGCGAAGAAACTCTAATTAGTTCGATAGTTCATCGTAAATCGAGAGGCTAACTAATCTGGACGAGTTAGTTGACGCAGAAATTACGTTGTATGGGTGGCTACTGAAGCCTTTGCGCCCCAATGGCAAAGTGGCTGCGCCAACGACATACACCCGGTTAGAAGATGCCAGACCCGAGGTAGAGCGTATGCTATGGAAAGCTACGAAGTGACGAGGGCATACTGTTGTTGAGGTGTTCCTAGAAGCCCAAAGAAGTGGAGGCAAACTGCTAGGTCCCATGGGTTCATTAAAGACACTATTTAATCCGCATTGTAATAATTTTGCACACTCAAAGGCACGTTCACGACAATTTTGGGTAACCCAGATTATGACGAAAAACGGAAGATAAGATGGAAAATAGTGCGATGGATGCGAAGGAATTACGTGGATCGGTGTTTCTGAAGTGAAAAAAGGTCTCGAAAATTCGTTAAAAAGGGGGCTGAACGAGAATGAGACCGGAGGAACGAGGAAGAATGGGCCTCTGGACGAGTTAAGCACGGCACGTAATTGCATACGTGTGGGCACTGATGCAAATATCTGGCCACGGTAAGCAAAAATCGATTTGCTTTGAAGCATAAGTAAACAAAAAAACTCTAGTTATAGCAAAAATGGATCCCTTTTTTCAGCCCCTTGGGATAGGAAATTGAAAAAGGGATCGCGGCAGCAAAAAGAACAACAGAGGGAAAAGAATGGAAGAAAAACATCGCCTCATTACTCGGCGATCAGCTGATTGTGTGTGGGTCCTAGGACGAATACTCGCAATCTGTATTGCCTTGACACTCGTCTGACGTGACATCGATCGAGAGGCGGGAAAGCTGATCAAGACAGTAACAGGGCTTCCACAATGCCCTGACCGTCGAGATTTTGGGAGCGAGAGGGATCCTTCTACATCCATGGGGGCCACCGAGTATTCCTAAAACAAGAACGCAGTAACCACATTTATCGTGAACCGTGCCTCTAAGCTTCTTGGCAGTTTGGTTTGATTTTCCAAAAAGGGTCTATATTCAACATTTCAGCGAGGACATTCCATATCTTGCATATTTATACGTATGTATATGATATATATATATATTAAGACTGAGGCTACACGTATATATATATGTATATATATACATATATATATANAAACTTGGGAGGGGGGGGGGGTATAATACTGACTAAATTCCTCTTCCCCTTCTTTCTCTTTATGGTATACCACATATGAAAAAAACCCCCACCACCTATCCCTTCGTCTGTTCGAATGGAATCAACTACATCGACATGGAATCGGTTCAAAACAAGACAAGGAACCTTTAACAGCGATGTCAGGTAAGTCGATCATTTGAATATTTGTATAAACAAATCGAAATGGAATAGTGAACTCTCGAAAAGAGGACGCTGTTGCTCGATACGTTCATACCATTTTCTAATGGGTAGCGGCACTGCACGTACCGCCTTCACATTTTTAGGGTTGGAGTTACTGTGTGCATCCAGAGCACAGTACACTCCTAATTATGTTATGATCAAGTATCACTAATGTAGTCCAGGCGACGAGTTCCTAAGTTTATTACAACCCATCCGCATCAATAGCCCATAATAAGGTTACCTCGAGGTGTTGCTAATTGTTAAGGACGCCATCATTTCTTTTCTAGCACCCCTACTCAGGTTAGAACAACATTGATTTTTTATCAGGTGAGCAAAAAAATGAAAAAAGCAAAAAAGGTGATAATGATGAAACTATAGCACTAGTCCCGACGGACAGCTTCAAGCAGTGTGTCTTGCTGCCGTTCCGAGTGCGTTCTAACGTCGAATTATATCTATATCGATAATTAACCATTATACCGTTAAGTGAAGTTATTACTAGTCTAGGATCTAGTCTAGTAAAATAGAAAATGACTATATAGAAGCCTTTATTAATAAATCAAAGGACTCAGTCGCTATTTTGACGTCTTTCACTTATCCGGAACTCAAAAGTACCATTACTCACTCCTACTATCTCTAGGACTGAGACCATAACGGACTTCTTTATTTTAGTGCACTTCGAGATTTTACCATCTCAACCTTTGCGGATCCTTGCATACGGTAAGCTATTTATAGCTCGACCGCGTCCGCCATTTGTCACTCGGAAACTCCAACCAAGATCACCAATCCTGCGGCGACATTCCGTAACTCGAGATTAATGATTATCTAATCACTAATCCCTCTGATCCCGAGCGGAACATATGCCTGACTCACTCGCAAGCGTGATTGATGAGTAACGGCGCGTATCATTTATCGTACCCGATCACTCGAAACTCAATTTAGGCGACCAATGGCAGCTGCGCTCATTAGCGCTTGGCCTTCTCGCGCCA